CTCGGCAGCAGGGAGGGGGGGGGGGGGGGGGGGGGGGTGGGCACGAGTGCTTACCAGGGGCCGCTGTCGGGGCGGCAGCAGGGCAGGACCAGGTCGACGGGCGGCGGGTCAGCGACAGGCGGCAGGTCGGCGTCGGGCGGCTGGTCAGGGACGGGCGGCTGGTCAGGGACGGGCGGCGGGTCGGCGACGGGCGGCTGGTCAGGGACGGGCGGCAGGTCGGCGACTGGCGGCTGGTCAGGGACGGGCGGCAGGTCGGCGACGGGCGGCTGGTCAGGGACGGGCGGCTGGTCAGGGACGGGCGGCGGGTCGGCGACGAGCGGCTGGTCAGGGACGGGCGGTAGTGGGCCACGGGCCGCGAAAGGGCCGCTACGGGCCGGAAGGGGGCCGTGACGGGCCGTAAAGGGGCCGCTACGGGCCGCGAAGGGGCCGCGATGGGCCGCGAAGGGGCCGCTACGGGCCGCAAAGGGGCCGCTACGGGCCGGAAAGGGGCCGCTACGGGCCGCGAAGGGGCCGCTACGGGCCGCGAGGGGGCCGCGACGGGCCGTGGAGGGGCCGCGACGGGCCGCGAAGGGGCCGCTACGGGCCGGAAAGGGGCCGCTACAGGCCGGAAAGGGGGGTCGCTACGGGCCGCGAAGGGGCCGCTATGGGCCGCGAAGGGGCCGCTACGGGCCGCGAAGGGGCCGCGACGGGCCGTGAAGGGGCCGCGACGGGCCGTGAAGGGGGCCGCGATGGGCCGCGAAAGGGGCCGCTACGGGCCGCAAAAGGGGCCTCTACGGGCCGTGAAGGGGCCGCTACGGGCCGCGAAGGGGCCTCGAAGGGCAGGCGCGACGCGCGCGTCGGGCAGGTAAGGAAAAAAAAAAAAAAAAAAAATGGTGGGCCCTTAGGAAAAAAAAATCGAACTAGCTCTATACCATGTGAAAGAATTGAGGAATGAATGATTGAACTAGAAACGAGGTGGGTACAAGTAGAGAACACAAAAGTGTTGTACCCTCTATGAACTACCCCACTACAGCCTAAATAGACTATAGCAGATATAAATTTGACAAATGTAATAGCGGAAGCGTTTAATAAAGGCTTGTGAACCACCTTGCGCTGGTATGTGAGGGCAAAGTTGATTGATTAAAACAAAGAGATACAAGCTTTTATAAGGATACAAGGGATATGAAGAGATACGGTTAATAACCGTTTTACTGTTGTTGTTGCGGTTCGATACAGTGTCGACTCGGGCAACTGCTCAGTAGCGAGTCAGTTGTTTGTCCTTGCTGTCACGCTGTATTTGTCAGGTCAAAGTGTTGAAATGCTAGGCAAAGTCAAGAAACAGGAAATAGGGGTTTTCACTAGCATACAGTGCAGTACATATAGCAAACCCTAATTCGGGCTGTACTCGCTATAGAGTACCCCACTGCAGGCTACACAAACATCACATTCTGACACACCCCCATAGTCAAAGTGGGGTACAATCAAAACAACAAGCAGGCAAAGCAGAAAACAAGCTCAGGGTGGATCACAATGTCACCACACATTCTGAGCAAAAGTACAAAAAGCAACAGTTTACAATGATAAGCAAGGCTAGAGGCAGTCACAGAGGGTAAGTGAGAAGGAGGAGAGACTGTGAGAAGAGTGAAGATAGAAGGCGACGGGTGAAGCCGCAGACACACGGGCAACAGGAACGGCGCGCACGGAGCACTCAACCTCCGGACTACAGGAGTAACTGGCTCCGCGCTAAGCAGCAGCAGGAGCAACAGACCCACGGGCGACTGGCAGCAGCAGGCTCACTGGGCTACCGGAGTACTCAACCCCCGGACTACTGGCGCTGCAGACGTCACAACGGCAACCTCCGGTCAACCTCCCCCAACTGTCCCACACCCCTTTCACACTCCCCTTATTGAACCTCTAGCACCGCTCATACACCACCCCCCTCGTACCACTCGGACGGCTCCAACACATCCACCCCCCTCAGCGGCAGCTGCAGCGGTGGGAGACGGAGGAGGAGGAGTAGGGGACGGCGCACACACCCGGCACCCACATACCCTCCACCCCCAAACCCCAACACAGGAACGCAGGCAGCAGCGGGGGTGGGGTGCAGTCAGGAGCTCGAGGGACGGCGTGCGGCAAGGGGGGGGAGACAGGAGGGACCGCTCACGGGCCTGGTGCAGCCCGTACGAACCGCGCGCAGGCTGCCCGAGCCGCGCGCGGGCTGCCCGAGCCGCGTGCGGGCCTGGCGCAGCCCGTACGGGCCGCGCGCTGGGCTGGCGCAGGCCGTACGGGCCGCGCGCGGGCCTGGCGCAGCCCGTACCGGCCGCGCGCGGGCTGTACGGGCCGCGCGCGGGCCTGGCGCAGCCCGTACGGGTCGCGCGCGGGCCTGGCGCAGCCCGTACGGGCCGCGCGCGGGCCAGGCGCAGGTCGCGCGGGCCGCGTCGGGCGACGGGGGGCGACGCGACGGTTTGACGGGGCAGAAAACCGCCGCGCGCCTCGGGGCGCTCGGCGGGAAGAAAAAATCGCTGCGCGCCCGGAGCGCGCGGTAGGCAGGAAACAGCACACGCCCGGGACGCGCTACAAGCAATAGAGCAGCGGAAGCATCGGGTGGGACCCACCCACAGGATCGACCCAGGAGGGTCGACCTGCTCTGATAGCATGTTGAAATGATAGGCAAAGTCAAGAAACAGGAAAGAGGGGTTTTCACTAGCATACAGTGCAGTACATATAGCAAACCCTAATTCGGGCTGTACTCGCTATAGAGTACCCCACTGCAGGCTACACAAACATCACATTCTGACACAAAGGTCGCTGACCTTTGACTTTCGCGTAACCTCCAGCAGTTGTTCAACCTCCGAGGGTTGACTCGCTGATGCTTCGATATGTTTCGCTTCGCTTCTGACTTGGTGTTTCGACACGACAGAGGCGCTTAAATTAATTGTTTCCAACAACTACAACATCATTTAATATTTAAACATACTAATACAAACAGTACAGCATATCTGCACAAAACCACTAACAAAGAAAGATCACATGGTTTAATATACTGTGAACATTATTCAAAACTACTTAAGAGTTTGGGAAGGGTACTGTAGTTTACGAAATTTATTTTCATATTTTATTAAAAAATATATGATTTTTTTTATGAAAATAAAATTTGGCAAAATCGATCGTAAAGGGTTGCTTCGCAACCCAGAAAAAAACCTGAAAGTTCAGAGTCATATGGCCCCTAAAGGCTGGAAAATCAGTCCTCCAAAAAGCTGAACACTGGAAAATCAGGGTAGGTACAAAAAAATCCCTGAAAATTAGGAGTTTCAGGGAAAAATTCCTGATATCGTAGGGCCTGATTTACACTGATCACTTTAGCCCTGGTCCTAAGAGGCCTTGATCAACACCGTGTTCATGGCACATTCTTGTTGGCAATAAGACAAGAGGTCTGTTATTCTTTACCTTTGCAGTATGTATTAGACAACTTGGTGTTCATTGAATGCATTTTGAAGTCCGTTTCAGCTTGGATAAGAAAGAGTGTTGGTGATTATTATAAATAAGTACTTGACATAGTAGCTCATAGTTGCATTAAGTGTAGTAAGAATTTTGAATAGAGTTGTACGGCTAAGTTCTTGTAACGGCACGTTTCTGTGCCATGAACATGGTGCTGGTGCTGTTTTGTTGGATCCATGTCGGCTTCCAGTCCAACAGAGGGCCAGCTGGCAATGAAACGGCGACTAGAAGGCATGGTGAACGAATATATTCGGTGTTGAGGCGCACTTTACTCAATACACCTATTCAAAACTGAGCACGACCAGCATGAACACATCTGATCGGTATATTAAAATTCCAGTGCAAATCTGCGCTGCTGCATGACATTCTCTTGTTTCCACCCAGTTCCGACATGTTCTACCTTACTTCTTTGTTCAAACTATCCTGAATCTCGAAGGCTTGCAGTTTCTGGTCACAGTGCTTTTGCAGTTTCTGGAAAATTTCCAGCTTGCCTGCTCGGGTCGCTGTGTGAGACAAGATACGTAAGATGTTGATGCGATTCGACGACTTCAAACTGTACAGTAACCACCAACCACCACGGACCCAAGGCGAACCAGTGAATGTCTGTCAATTCATCCATCCATTCGCCTTCCATCCATTTCCCTCCCTGCAGCTTCTCTCGAACCCAAACACACGCACCACCCACTCCCTCCCTCTTCCATCCCACACTTAGGCCAATGGCGACACTGCAGTGCAACATCGGTGTGGTTCGGTCTGACGTGCGCTGCTTCTGATCGAACCACAGCCGTTGGATCGACTCCGCTTCGTTTCCAGACAATGCTGCCCCCTTTCCTCCTTCCCCCACAGCTGATCAGGCAAAGAAACACTGTCCACCACTGTTTGCAGCCTCTGTTTGCATAGAGACAGCGAAGGTGAGTGGACCTCAAAACTCAAGGACAGTCACATAGGGTGGATGGTGAGCACGACTTTGACCACCCTAAATTTGCTCTCCACACGGGATCGTCGTGTCTTGGAACGACGCACATTATGGTATCTGCTACACGAGTGAGCAGTGATGCCGAATTAGAGCGAGACTGAACTGAGCCGTGCAACAGCGCTCCCCATTCATGGCGACAGACACGCAGCGACGGCCGAGCTCCATCTCTCGCCTAATCGCGCCGCCGCCGCTAGACCTCCCGGCTTTCTCCCACCAGCCACTCCCGCAGCAATGCTCTCCTCTCTTTCGCGGGCTCGCACCCTCTCCCTCTGCGCGCGACACAAACACTCCGAGTCGCGCAGCCTCCAACCGCCATGCCACGCCTCGCTCTCCACTCGCCTCTTGCCGGTCTGCTAGCGTGAATAACGGAGAGACCTCGTCCGCAGCGTCGCCTTCCTCGCCTCGCCTTGCCTCCACGCCGGACTCCGCCGTGCCCGGTCGCTGTCGCGCGCGCCAAGGACTCGCGTCCCCGAGTGGCGGTCAGGGTGGCGCGCGCACGGGGCATCTCTCCGCCCACGGCGACTCCCCCTCCTCGCACTACAGAACCATGGTCGAGTCGAAGAGCTTTCCCGCCGCCACTTCGCCGCAACTGCCGGCGCCAGGCGCGCGGCTTCCTTCGTCGCAGAGCTGCGGCGCTGCCGTTTCGCAGCGCCCCGCTTCCCCGCACGCGCGTTCCCCGTTCTCTTCGCCGCGTACCGCTTCCCCTCGTCCCCCCTCCCCGTTCTCCTCCCCGCGTCACGCTTCTCCGCTTTCCTCTCCTAGTAACGCCAACCATTCCGGAGCGCGGCGCCTGCCGAGCGATCAACAGTCCACAAGGCTTGGCCCCTCGCCAGCAGAAGCAGCTTACGTGGACTGGCCGTCAACTGACGTGTCACCGTCGGGATTCTCACCCGCAGCGGCAGGCCCGCCGTCCCCGTCGACAGCAGGAGCGGCTGTAGCGGGGCTGCGGTCACGGAGCCGGCTCGGTCCAGGCTACAACCACGCGACAGCCGACGACGCCACAGGCAGCCCTCGCTGCGCCTCACCCCACCATGCACCTGCCGCTAGTCCCGGGGCCGTTACCGCGTTAGCCCCTAGCGCAAACCGCACGGCACTAGGAGGTCCCGCTGCGAGCACGCAGGAATGCGAGAATCCGCTGGATCCCGCGCGACCGCAGCCCAAGGCCACGTGGGGTAGCCCGCACGACGCGCACAGGCCGGTGTCCCCGAAAAACCAGCCGGTCCGCCGCTTTGCGCTTCCGCCAAAGCTGCTGTGCGGTTCCTTCTCGCCCTCCTCCCCGTCATCCCTCTCCCCCGCCACCCCCTCCCCGGTCCATCCCTTCTCCCCAGCCTCCCCTTCTGCCCGCAAACACTCCGGCGTGTTTCCGCATTCCGCATCTGCCCCTTTTTCTTGTCCCCCTTCCGCCTCCCCAGCATCTCCCGCCTCCCCCACGCCCTCCGCCTCCCCCCCCTCCGCCTCGTGCTTCTCCTCCTCCTCAACCGCGTCGCACTCGCGTTTCGCATCGCTGTCGCCAGCGTCGCCCCTGGGCGTGCTAAAGTCGCCCACGCCGCATTCCCCGGCGAGCAGGAGCGCGTCGCCGCAGCCCAAGAGCCCGCTGGGGCGGACGACAGTCGCCGCGGGGACTTACACCAGCCCATGCGCTGCTAGTGCCGCCGGTGATAGCGCAAGCTGCAAAGGTGAAGGGACGTTTCGTCAGCAGCAGCAGCAGCAGGCGCAGAGGCGGGGGGCGATCTCGGGGGCGCAAGGGCGGGCGTTCAGCATCGCGGACTTGCTGCGCCTCCACTCGCGCTCGCTGTCTGCCCGCGCTGCGCCCGATGCGCCAATCTCCGCCACTTCACCCGCGCGCGGTGACTCGGACGAGACGGGTTCGTGGAGGCCCGACGCTCGCTTGCGAGGCGGGGAGGGGATGAGCGGGCAGGCGCAGCAGCGGCAGGAGTCTCCCCAGCAGCGGCCGCGGCAGCGGGTTGGGGGGGATGGGCAAAGAAGGCGGGCGATAGTGCGGTGTGTATCGGAGCAGGTGGAACGACGCAGTGCTTATAGCGGGGATGGGATGACGGGCCAAGAGGGAAGGGGAGGTGAGGGGGAAGCGCGGAGGGCGAGCGCGCACGGGTGGGCGTCCGCCGACCTGGCGCTCAGACTGCAGCGCGCCGTTGCCACCGCTGCTCGCGGCCGCTCTGCTGCTGCGCCCGCTGCGAGCGCCGCTACTGTTGCTGCCGCCACTTGCGCCAACTCTGCTGCTGCGAGCGGCAATGCTGCTGCAAGGCATGGCGCTGTTGCTGGTAACAGGGTTACCAGTTCAGGTGAGGACGCAGAAACTAGACACGGGGATGGGGGAGAGGGGGAAAAAGAGGAGTGCTTAGAAAGGGGGAGCGGTTGGAGCGTTGATGGGGAGGTGGAAGGACAGGCGGAGGAGAGCGCGGAGAGGAGGGAGGAAGGCGGGTGGGAGGTGGCTCACGGGCATGGGGAGAGGCACGGGGAGTGGCACGGAGAGATGCAGGGGGAAAGGCACGGGGAGAAGCACGAGGAGAGGCAGGGGGAGAGGCACGGGGAGAGGCAGGGGGAGTGGCAGGGGGAGAGGCACGGGGAGAGGCAGGGGTGCAGCGGCAGCAGCAGCAACAGCGGCAGCATGCCGCAGTGCCCGGGCGCGTTCCTGGGCAGCAGCAGCTCGTTCAACGCGCGCCCCCGCTTCCCCGTCAACGCCTCCACCTCCGCCGCCGCCGCCGCCCTCGCCGCCGGGGGCAGCTGCCGGCGCAGCAGCAGCCGCCTGGCGCTCTCGGACCTGTACAGCAGCAGCCGGGACTCGCGGCCCGCTGGGCACGGGACGGGCGCCCACACTGGTGCCACTAGCACCAGTGGCGGGGGGGATGCTAGCGGGCGTGTGAGCAGCAAGGGGGGCAGCAGCATGGGTTGGGGCAGCAGGAGCGGGCGCGAGGTGTGGAAGGGCGCGCGGGACACGCATGGCACGCAGTCCAGCCTGTTTCAGGGGGGAGGCAGTGGCAGGCTGCTGGGACTCACTCTCAGCCCGCTGAGAGCCAGGGCCGGCGCAGATGGGAAGAGTGGGCGACAAGGTGATGGCAGGGGGGTGAGCGGGCCTCTTTCCCCGGCCGTTGTGCCGCGCTCGCCTTCCAGTGTGGGCCTGCTGCCCTTCCCCACCGCCGCTGCTCCTCCTTCTCTTCACTCGCCCGTGCTCGTGCCGGGGGCTGCTTTGCCTGGTTCGCCGCTGCCACACCAGAGAGGGAGGCTCGGGAGAGAGGCGTGGCAGCAACAGCAGCAGCAGCAGCAGCAGCAGCAGCAGCAGCAGCAGCAGCAGCAGCAGCAGCAGCAGCAGCAGCAGCAGCAGCAGCAGCAGCAGCAGCAGCAGCAGCAGCAGCAGTTGGGGCAGCAGCATAGTGAGCAGAGTGAGGTGCATCACGAGCATCATCATCAGCAGCATGTCACAACGAGCCTCCACCAGCACACACAAGTGTCGTGTGTTGGTTTCAGTGTCAGCACTGTCAAAAGCACAAGCACACACGCCACCGTCACACAGCAAAGCTGCAGCAGAGCCACTTCAGAAGCAGCAGCGGCAGCTCAAGTCCACCAGTCCCCTGCATCAGCGCGCCCAGGTGCGCCCCCAGCAGCCATGGCACCGCTGGTTGCCAAATCTGGAGGCGAGGCTTGGGCAGCCGCAGCCAAGGGAGCTCCTGACGGAAGCCAAGGGTCGGAAGAGCAGGCTCGGCAGCAGCGGCTGTGGAGGCAGTCAGAGCGGGCAGCGGAGCGGAGGAGGAAAGCACGGGCGAGTGATTTTGTGCTGAGGAAGCCATATGCCGACATCCGTGAGGAGTACGTGGTGGCTCGCAAGGAGATCGGCAGCGGGCAGTTCGGCATCATCCGCAAGTGCGTGCAGCGCCAGTCGGGGCTCACGTTCGCCTGCAAGACGATCGCCAAGGCGGGCATTCTGACGGCGGAGGATGCGGAGGACGTGCGCAACGAGGTGGGGTTCCTGGAGGAGCTGCGCGGCCACCCCCACATCGTGGCGGTGCATGCGACGTACGAGGATGACGACAACATCCACATCGTCATGGAGCTCTGCAAGGGAGGGGACCTCTTTGACCGCATCAAGCTGCGCGGCCGCATGCCTGAGCCCGCCGCTGCTGCCATCTGCAAGGCGCTGGTGGGCGTGCTGCTGCACTGCCATGTGCGCGGTGTGCTGCACATGGACGTGAAGCCCGAGAACGTGCTCATGTGTGACCGCTGCGACGACACACACATCAAGCTCATCGACTTTGGCGTCGCCACGCGCTTCACTGCAGGCGTGCCGTGCCGGGAGGTGCTAGGCACGCCCGAGTACATCGCCCCGGAGGTGCTCAAGGGGGCGTACGGCCCGCCCGCTGACCTCTGGAGCGCCGGTGTCGTGCTCTATGTGATGCTGGCCGCGGCGCCTCCCTTTTGGGAGCGCGCGAGTAAGACGCTCAAGGAGTCCATTTTGGGGGATGACGTGCCCTTCACCCAAAGCAAGTGGGGCGACCGGTCGGCGGAGTGCAAGGAGCTTATAAGGAGGATGCTTGACAAGGATCCAGCCACGAGGATCACAGGGAAAGAGATTCTTGGTGAGTGTGGGGAAGGACAACACATTCTCAACTCTAGACCACTCACATGGTCAGACAAAAACTCGCCATCAATATATGAAACGCACTACTCCTTTCAGTTCCCCCACCTCCTCTTCCCAACACCTCACCTCCCACAATCACACCTATGCAAATGCTGTGCCTCTAAGCAGCAACACCCTAACCTTGGTCTCTCCCATCTCCCTCTGATGTCCGCCCGTGATGTCCGCCCGTGCAGAGCACCCTTGGATCAAGATGCGCACAGGTGCCAGTTGAAGCCCAGGGGCAGCATGGTGATGGCACGTGGCAAGGAATTATATTTTAGGTAATTCAGATATTGTGGGTCTCACAGATGCCACTGGTAGATCGGATTAGATAGGATCATGAAAGTGATGTTCCTGCAATTTGTTCTTATCAAAGATAAGAACATTCTGTATTTTATACTCTACTCCCGATAATGGAGTTTTCTTTAGGCTTGAGGTACACCTTGAGGGCGGTTGCGTGAAGGTGACGACGTGGTTTCGCCAAACCAAGCAGATGCCCCAACAAGCAGGCGAAACGAATTCTTGTTCTGAAACGAAGACCTTGCTGCTCGCGAAAGTCCATGACGAGCTGTCGTCATAGCATTCGATTGGCTCATCACTCGCAGCGGAATTAAGGGTGTGTGACATTGATTGAACCCATGATTATCGTTGTCAACCGCAGTGCATCGTTCTGTCACACTCGTCTAGCAAAGCAACCCGTTGTCACTAGGCTCGAAAAGCTCCTTGCATCTGTGGGGTTCAAAGCTTGGAGGTTCACTCTTGGGCTTCCCTCACCTCTTCCTTGGCATTCGTCACCCACGTGTCTTCCGAGATCTGCCTCCGCCTCTAGATCACAAACTCGTGCTCCATTTCACGAATCTGACATTTCGACGATGGGCACGGGACTGACGCTCTACGGCCACGTGCACTCGCCATTCGTGCGTCGCGTGCTGCTGACGCTCTACGAGATGGGCGTCGAGGTGAGCGCAATGGGCAGATGAGCGTCGAGGCGCGATAAAGAATCTTCACGTCGATTTGTCAAATTCGTTCGTTCTGCTACGGACGTCTCTAATGTTGCGATTTGATTGGTGAGTGCGCGGCGGCATTCATCCATCATGATGTCATGGCGCTGCAGCACTCGAGTTACGCGACCACCGTGTTTCCCCATCCCCGGCAGGATTTCGAGATGAAGGTGGTGAACACGAGCAAGGGCGACAACAAGACGCCCGAGTACCTCGCCATGAACGTGCGTGAGTGGAGTACATGCAAGCATCTCTTAGCGGGGATGATAGGGGATGGCTGTAATGCATCGCGGCAATACGACCAGTGTGTGTATAGCGATAAGGAGTAGTGGGAGTGCTGTAGTGGGAGTGCTGTACCATCCACCGACAAAGGTGTGGAGGTGCCATGGCATGGCGCTATTTGCGAATGTTCTTGGTGCAGCATGCGAGTGCGCCGAGGCAGGGTGGGTGTGGCAGTGGCGGGTGGGTGCGATGGTGGCAGGTGCAGTCGTGCGTGTCGTGTTCCCCTCCTCCCTTCATATGCACTCATTCTCTCTAATCCATCTCACTCTCGCCCTCCGCATCTCCCCTGTGCTCCCGCGGGCAGCCTTTCGGCAAGATGCCAGTGCTGGACGACAACGGCCGCTACCTCTATGGTGGGTGCCCTCACGTGCCTGCCAATTTCGTCAATTATTGTAATAGATATCCTCTGTTTTCCCACCTGCCAGCGTCTGGGTGGTTTGCTTATGCAAGGTCAGTCATTCGCTACGATTGGTAACCAACCTGTGCCGAATATTCAACCGCCCCTCACATGCAACCCGCAGAGTCGCGCGCCATCATGCGGTACATAGCGGAGAAGTACGCGGAGGGCAAGGCGAACCTGGTGGGGGGCGACGTGTGGGAGCGCGCGGAGGTGAGCCAGTGGACGGACGTGGAGGCGCACAGCGTGACGGAGCAGGTGGCGGTGGTGGTGGAGGAGAACTTCCTCAAACAGCTCATGGGCAAGGGCGAGCCTGACAAGGCGCGCGCCGACGCTGCTATTGAGAAGGTGAGGAGATGGGATGGAGGTGTTGAGCATGGCGGGGAGGGGGAGAGGATGGGGTATAAGGTGGGGCGATGGGGAAGAAATACGGATGAGACTTTCCTTAGGTGATGCTGGAGTAGCGTCACCTGGCGCCCACTGGTGCTGTGCGAGCTGATCTCCCCCCCACGCACCTCACAACCACTCTAATGCCCTTTCAACCCCCTCACCTGCCCGTGCTCGCCCCGGCAGCTGGGGCGGCTGTTTGACATCTACGAGAAGCACCTGCAGGGGCGTGAGTACCTGGTGGGCGGGCGCTGCACGCTGGCGGACCTGACCCACCTGCTGTACACGGAGATCCTCTTCCACGCGGGCGCCGGTGACCTCATCACATCACGCCCCAACGTGGCGCGGTGGTGGGAGCGCATCTCGTCACGGCCTGCGTGGAAGAAGGTGCAACAGATGGAGCCCATCCCCGCCTGATGATGGGTGTATCCATCCATGGTGCTGCCATCACCTACGGTACCATATCGGGCATCATGCTGGATCAGTGCACGTTAGATATCGAGTTTCTGCTTCGTGTTTTCCACGCTCTATGTATGCTTGAGAAGAGTCAGATTGACACAATGTGCAGTAGATTTCTCTGGGAAGAATGGTTAGATTTTTGAAGCTTTTGATTGAGGCAAAAAACGTATGGCTTCCTAAATACGAGGGTCCAAATTCTTCGGGGAATTCACGCAAGTTACGGTATTAATCAGAATGCAGGTGCACTCGCCACATCTGCTCCGCAGGCAGGAATTCCCAGGAGCAATTGTGTACCCTCGCTTCAAGGCAGGGCCCAAAATTGGTTTTGGCCCACCCTGACTAATCAGGGTTTCAGGCCAGACATACCCTGACTCATAGGGTACAAATTTTCATGCCCTGCCAAAAACAGCCTAAAAAAACTTGTACACTGATTATGACAGTGTAAAAATGTTCACAACCTGTCTTATAATTTGAGTGTAAAGCAATGGGTACAGGATATTTCTCAGTTGGTTCGATGTTTGGCTAGAAGTGTAAGATTGCAAGTTCGAATCTCGGCAGCGGTGGTAATGCTTTGCGGCTTCGCAAGGAAAATCCTCCCTACTGAGGATTCGGTTGTTGGGCTGAAAAGGGCCCCTTAGGATCTTTCAAGGCTAAGATCAAGTGTTGATGTTGTATTTGCGGAAGCGTTTAATAAGAGTTACTCGAACCACCTTGTACCGGTGTGTGAGAACAAGATAAGTTGATTAATAGCAGGAAAATACAAGCCTTTTATATGATTACAAAGGAATATAAAAGTTCTACTTTTAACTGTTTTTTGTTGTTGCGGTTCGATACAATGCCGACTCGGGTAACTGCTCAGTAACGAGTCAGTTATGTGTCCTTGCTGTCGCACTGTAGTTTACGTCAGGTCAAGGGTCAGTGACCTTTGACTTACGCGTAACCTCCAGCGGTTGCTTTGGTTGACTCGAGTGTTTCTTTGCTGTAGTCAGCTCCGTTTCGTGTCGACACTTCGATGCGACAGAAGCGTTTAAATTATTTGTTTCCAACACCCCCCTTCGCTTCTGGAGTATCGCTGCTGATGACGTGTCCTTGTCCAGTCAGCAGCATGCAGTACTCGAACTTCTGTTTTCCGAGTTTCTTGGTCAAGTAATCAGCTGCCATCTCGGATGTGGGGCAGTAGGATAGCTCGAGTCTTCCCTTCTCGATTTCGTCTTTTACGAAGAAGTACCGAAGGGCGATGTGCTTCGTTTGATTCGCGAACCCGTTTTTGTTCGCTATGCGAATGGCCGATTGGTTGTCGCAGAAGAGAGAGAAGTTTGGTAACTGGGCCAATTTTGCTTCCTCCAGTAATTCGCGAAGATATAGCCCTTCCTTGATGGCTGAGCAGAGTGCGATATATTCTGCTTATGCTGAGGAGAGAGCGATTAGCTCTTGCTTGTTCGACTGCCATGAAATAGGCCCGATAGGTTCGAGTCTGTAGACGTAGCCTGTTCGAGATCGTCTGTTGTCAGAGTCTCCAGCGCGATCTGTCAAACTTATATATGCTATAGTCTATTTAGGCTGTAGTGGGGTCAGGGCCCTCGTTAGCAGACTAATTTAGTCTGTTGGTCTAGGTTTCAGGCACGAAATGTGTAGTTCATATGCTGCGGCAGACTTTAGCTTATGGGCCATATGTGAGCCAAGACCAAGGCTATAGCATCATATGTTTTTTCAGGAAACTTATATAGATTCGTCTGATCAAGCAGAAATCGCGTATTGATTCGTCTGATAGAGACAAAATAGCCCAGTTGGCCAGAGGAGCAGCGATGTGTTGCATGTGAAGGCACGCGTAATGATTTCTGCGTGAGGGAACGGGGGTGAATTTCGGATTCTTCCTGCCAGCGCATACTGCATCTGACTCAGTTGCTGCCACACATCTGTTGGGTAGCTGTTGTCGGCGCCGCTGCCAGGCTGTTGCCCGTTTCGGCATCTGTGGCCACAACTCTACCGGCGATTTCTGTTTCTCGCATTAGATCAGGGAACGGCAAATACAAACAGCGAATTCTGAGCTTTGCCCGTCCCACTGCAGGTGTCCCGCCAGCAACCGTCCCCCGCTTTAGCACACCTCGCCCGGGCCCGTCACAGCCCGTCGCCGCCAATTCGTCGGAGGGAGTACGAGAGGAGCAAGCAGTATGTGTTTGTAGCGGCCACCATGCCAACGGGCACCAAGAAGAGCGTGGGGGAGGTACTCGCGAAGCAGTTCCCCGCCGCCGTGTGGGTCAGCGGTGACCTGCTGCACCGCCACAACCCCTTGTCAGTGCCCATCACCGCACTCCACACTTGCACACCCACACACACCCAAAGGCTGTGTGGTCAGGGGGGGGCTGCCATGAGCTATTAACCCACCTGCCCCTTTCCTCTTTCTTCAACCCCTTTCCCCTTCCTCTTCTTCCTCCCCTTTCCCCTTCCTCTTCTTCCTCCCAATCCTGCCTCACTTCAGTGTTCGTTAGCTGCCAATTCAACCCTACTCGCCCCTCCCCATTCGCTGCATCGATCCTGCTTTTCCTCCTTCCCTATTTTTCCGAACCCCCACTACCCCTCCCAACCCCCCTTGTGTCAGTGTACGGCACGACTGGCATCAGGTGGATGACAGCTCGCGAGCCGCTGCACTGCTGAGAGCGCTGGCTGGTGGAAATGGTCAGCTGGAGGGAGGAGTGGAGAGAGGTGCAAATGGTGTGCCGAGTGCAGAGCAGCAGGACAGCATCCAGCGGACCATGGTCTTTGCCAACGACGTGGAATCGGTGGACGCCATTGGCCGGCTCCTCCAGCGCCACCTGTCCTCCTCTGCTGCTGCCACGTCAGCAGTAGTAGCCGATGACATGGCGGTAGGAGGAGCCGCTGATGTGGCAGCAGAAAGGGGTGCTGACGTGGCATGGTGTGCAGTGTACCACAAGGACGTGCCGCTGGACGAGCGGGAGCGCGCACTGAGAAGGTTCCAGGAAGGAGGGGGTGTGCTGGTGTGCACTGATGCTGCTTCAAGGGGAATTGACGTGGAGCATGTGTCTCACGTGGTGCAGGTGATTGCGAGGAGAGAGAGGGGGGGGTTATTTGGAGGGGGGGTGGATGTGCAAGCGAGTGGAGAAGAGTGAAGGCTGCATGGATGGGCGGCACAGAGAGGGATTGACTTGGTGCATGTGTCACGTGTGGTGCGGGTGAGGGAGAAAGAAGGGGGGAGAGGGGGGAGGCGCGTTTAGGGGGCGTGGAGGAGGAAGGAAGTGCCATATATTGCCAGGGCAGGGCTTGCTGAATCACATATCTGTACGATAGTCACCTACCTCGCTCTCATGCCCTGCTCTTCGTCCTTTACCTGCACCGCTCTGATTGATGTCTGAATTTCTGCACCATGTGGGCACAATCCACGTCATGCACTTCTCCTCCCTCCTCTCTCCTTCCCTCCTCCTCTTGCATCCCTCCTCCCAGGCCGAGTTCGCCCTCAACGCCCCTGGCAGAGACGGGCAGACCATGGCAAAGAGCACATTGCTTCAGATTCAGAGCTAGACGGGGACGACGAGGAATCCTAGTTCAATATGAATGTATGGTTAACTGTAGTAATAGAGTAGAGTAGAGTCTAGTCTGTGTGTAGACTATATAACTAAATAAATGTCTGATTTCGTGAAAATCTGTCTGAGCCGACATACTAACTTATAAAATCCGTCTGAGGCAAAGACCACCAGGAATCCTCCATATGAGGGCCAGACGATTTTTTTTTTCTTGGAAAACGTCAGACGGGCCTAAAAGTTAGCAAGAGCCCTGAGTGGGGTAGTCCTTAGAGGGTACAACACTTTTGTGTTTCCTACTTGTACCCATCTCATTTCTAGTTCATTCATTCCACTCATTATTCTCACATGGTATAGAGCAGGTTCCCTAGTGGAACTTTTTTTTTTAGGGCCCACCACTACCAAAAGTTTTTTTTTCCTTACCTGCCCGAGGCGCGTTTCGCTTCTGTCCTAGCAACGCCCCGTGCGCCTGCCCTTCGCGGCCCCTCGAGGCCCCTTGCGGCCTTCGCGGCCCCTTAGCGGCCCTTTGCGGCCCCGTCACGGCCCTTCGCGGCCCCCTTCGCGGCCCTTCGCGGACCCCGTTCGCGGCCCGTTGCGGCCCCTCACGGCCCTTCGCGGCCCCTAGCGGCCCTTCGCGGCCCCCTCATGGCCCTTCGTGGCCCCTCGCGGCCCTTCACGGCCCCTTCACGGCCCTTCGCGGCCCCTTGCGCGGCCCTTCGAGGCCCCTTCGTGGCCCTTCGCGGCCCCTTGCGCGGCCCTTCGAGGCCCCGTCGTGGCCCTTCGCGGCCCTCTGCGGCACTTCGCGGCCCCTTCCGGCCCTCTGCTGGCGCGCCCCCCCCGCTGACGCGCCCCTGTAGCCGAGCCCCTGCCGGCCCCTGCACACGAGCTGCTGGCGCGGCCCCTGCTGGTGCGCCTCTGCCGGCCCCTGCAAACGGCCCCTGCTGGAACGGCCCCTGCTGGCAAACCCCTGCCGTCCCCTGCACGCGAGCCCCTACCGGCCCCTACTGGCGCGGCCCCAGCTGGCGCGCCTCTACCGGCCCCTCCTGGCGCGCCCCCTACAGTCCCGGCCCGCCCCTGCACCCGTTTCTGGTAAGCCGAGCAGCGCCACCCAGTCGAGCCGCGCTGCCCAGCCGAACCGCGCCGCCCAGCCGAGCCGCGCCGCCCAGCCGAGCCGCGCCACACGGCTGAGCCGCGCCGCCCAGCACTGACTTGCGCTACTGCTGCTACTGCTACTACTGCTGCTACTGCTGCTACTGCTGCTACTGCTGCTACTGCTGCTACTGCTACTACTGTTGCTACAGCTACTATGGCTAGTCCGACTGTTCTCACCTTTGATGCTGAGGGACGTGCGGTTGATTTTGACGTATGGGTTGACGACCTACAGCTCTTTCCTCAGTGTGATTCTAGGGATGGGGTATCCCT